GAAGCCAGGTGGTGACCGACGGGACTAGCTGGCATCGACCTTCCACTTTCTCCCACCAAAGTCGTCCAGCTTCCCTTCCTGTTCCTCTTTCCTGTCTCTGGCTGGTGCGTAAGTCACCATGTTGTCCTTGTGTTGGCTTCCTCTGCCTCTGAGAAGCCCGACTGGTTTCCATTCTTGTGTGCGTGTGGAGGGAGGGTGCCAGGCCGGCTTTGTCCAGATTCCCTTGGGACAAACACTGCGTTTGTCCCTGTGCTGTCAGTGCTGGAGAAGTCCCTCTCTGTGCTAGGGCCCCTCTTCCCAGGATGGGGTCTGTGTGTTGGAATACAAGAGCTGGAGTCCAATGTGTCTTTCCAAGAGATTGGTTTTATTTAGTTCTGTACATACAGGGACATCTGTACAAAATCCAACACTTTCATACTATGTAATGCTCTACTGAAAATAAAGTACACCATATGTACATATGAACTGTAAGCAGCTTAATACTTGTGTCCAGGGGGTGAATGCAGTAGTTAGTTTCGCTTGTTCCCTCAGGAAGAGGGAGCCAGGTGACATGGAAGAGGCAGCTCCAGTTCTGTCCATTTGGCTGATGTGGGGAAAGGCATAGGCAGAAATGAGCGGCACTAACGCTAGAAACCCAAGTGTTGAGCGAGGGACAGCTGTAGCGTGGCAGACGCAGGTCTGCATATGAGCAGTAACATGTGGTGGAGAAGGTGAACGCACTCCCCCCTTTCTCACATGGTCCCCTTCTTAGGTGTCCAGGACACCGGAATGAATAGGCAGCGAACTAATGGCGATGTGAAGGTACTAAGCATTAAGTTCCCTGACCCAGAACAAGACACATGAAGCCAAGAGAACATCGAAGCTGTACATCACATAGTCGTGATGCGTTAACAGTCCTGCCCCTGCACACAGCACAACCCCGGCAGCGTTCCTCCTGGCGGAGAGGGACCATCTGCGGGGCAGCAACCAGCCTCTGCGCACCAGAACCTTGTGCAGGCCGCACAGCCTGCAGCAGGGGAAGGCAGCCGCTGCCCAGCAGCAAGCAGGCTTGAGTGAGGGCACACACGTGCTGTAGCATTCTAAAAATGTGCTGTAGCATTCTAAAAACGTGCTGTAGCACTCTAAAAACAAGGAGGCGGCTTATAACGTGACACTAAAGCGGACGAGTTGGAAAGCCTGTACTGCGACGGTAAGAAACGTCCTCCCGAGCCCTGCTGCGGGTGGCACTTGGCAGGCCTCATCTCCGCCGTGCCCCGAGACGCCTGCCGCTCCCGTGCGCCGTCCAGCATCAGCCCGAGCATGTCTACATGCTGTGCCAGGCGTGAGGTAATTGATTGGCAGCTGACCATGAGCTTGGACTAATGTTCAAAATAAGCAATAACCTCCCTGAGGTGTTTCGTAAAGTCTCCTGATGAACTGGCCCATTGCATGAAGCGGAGGGGAGGTGGGGTCCTGCGTGGCTGTGGGTGATCTCGCACGTCCTCACGCTCGCCAGCTGCTCCTAAGAGATGGTGGCATGCCTTAACGAGGGCCAAACCGAAAGAGAGCTAAACGGGGCAGGGGGTACGGGACACCCCGCGGGGGAAAAAACAGCTTAGTTTGGGCTGGAGGAAAGATGTGCTGCCCCACCAGCTGTAAGATGAGAGGGGTGAACCTCTGACCTGGGAATGGTTTACTGGTGAGGACAAGCAGATACATACACCAGGACCTTCTGCAACATCCCACGATGCTGCAAAGCAGTGTCAGACTAGCACCAACCCCGTAAACTCCCTGCACTGTTGCAAACCCACTTAAAGCTTATGTGTCAAGAAAGCAAGCGCAGCAGGTAAGGAACAAGGAAGACTCCCTATTCGGTCACAAGCCAGCCTCTCTGAGGTGGCACCTTGGCCTGGCACCGAGTTGTCACCACAAAAGGTTGGGGAGAAAAACTGGATCACAGCAGCACCCAAGCGCAACCCCCTGGGCTATCGGCAAGTGCACTCTAAATGCTAAATTAGCACAAGTCCCTGATGCACCCCATGATAACTAACGAGGGCCTGGGGCCACAGCAGGTGCCAGAGTAACAGGGCAGGAGGAACTTAGCTCAGAGCGCCACGGAAGCAGTTCAGCAGTAGCACCTAGCCATTGATCACAAAGAGGAGACAACTGAACGCTCAGAAACTCAGCCTGGCCCCGTAAGGTGTATCCATTGCTTCCACGAGTTTGCAGAAATGACTTTAGCAGCACAAGCTTCCTAGAAACCCTGGCCACTGCTGAGCTAAGGATGGGATACAGCGACAAAGGGAGAGCTGCGGGAGTATTTTAATTGAGCAGGTAGAGGAAGAAAGCAGAAGTCAGTGGCTGACACTGCTACAAAGCAGGAAGTTAATTTTGGGCCCACAATTAACCCAAGACACGGGTATGGAGACAAGTCAGCACAGACCAACACAAACAGCTGAAGGAATTCACTTTCCCACAAGAGAGCTTCTAAGGATGCTCTAAAGGGAAGGCTGCAATAGTACGTAGTGCTTGCACCCAGCTTTTCTAGGGGTGGTGAAGCACTGAACCCCCACTCCACTGATGGGAACAGAACAAGGGGCTTGAAGCAAAAGAAAGGTGGAAGCGAACGTCTCCCTCCGCTGTATGCGAGACCCTCCAGCTGCGGAGCTGTGCCCCGAGGCAGCGCGAAGAGGCAGCAGAACCCCCACAAACTCTGCTGCACACTCCTGCCACGAGTTCAGCCCCACCTCTGACCGCCGTGGGGCTTGGCAGCACGGGGTCCGGCATGGCGGAGACAGACACTTTGGGCTCACAGCAGCACGCCAGGCTGCATGTCTCAGTCTCCAGCCAACGCAGGGCCTGTGTTGCAGGGCAGCAAGGCTCCGGCTCCCAGGCGGAATAAGAACCAGGCAGCAGCTGGAAATGAAGCAACTCCTGCCTGGGCTGATACAATCGTGGGTCCGGCAGGTTCCCTTCACACATGCACACCCATCCAGGGTGGAAAAGCAGGAGGAAGGAGGAAAAGCAGGACATGACAGTAGTGAGATACAAGTTATAACATAAAACCAGATCTAGCCTGGAGGGATGAGGATGGAGTGGAGGACAGGCACAGCTCACCATGTTCATTCCCTATTTATACATGAGAACCAAGTGCATTTCCGTGACCCCTGGGGGAAAGGGATGCGGCAGAGCTTCCCGGGCCAGCTCCTGAGCCCGTCAGAGAGCCTCTTGGCTTGAGGTGAGAAACTCTTCCGCTCTCTTGTGGGCCTCCAGGGCTTTTATAGTGTAGACGTCCTGAGGAAGCTCAGATTTCCGGCGCAGCAAAACTTTCTCCTTCTTAATGTCTTTCAGCATCTACAGACAAGCCAAAGGATTCAGGAATCAGCAGCAAGCCTCTTCACCCCTCCAGCCTCCCCATTCTCTGACTCCAACTGCTCTAGGATATGCGAGGTGACACTGCAGCACACTGCAGAACAGGCCGAGAGCCAGACACAGAGCAAAAGGGCATAAAAAAAGTCCCCCTTACACTTTTTCTACAGTGGGAAGGTTAAATAAACTCCATTCTTGTGACTACAGGCTGATCTCCAGTTATCAGGGAAGAGAGCAGGGGCATTTACTCTCAGAACACTTGGAAAGAGCCAGTTCTGGCTGCTGGACCCTGGACTGACTATGCTGAAGTCCTGGCTGGTCTGAGAGTAACTGTGGAAAGACCCCGGTCATCTACACACCTGCACAGCCTCTGTCTCCACCGTTTTCTTCAGCAGCTGTATATCCTCCGCAGTTGGGGTCTCCGTTTCCATACAGCAGATAGGAGTCAGCGATGGCGGTGCGTAATACATGGGGTACTGCAAACAAGACAGCAGGAGAGTCAGCACATCATCCAGCCCCAAGCATTCTTCCCCCAGCATCCTAGCACAGCATGGCACACTCCAGCCACTCGCTCTGGCACCTGCAAAGGTGGCAGTGGGTGCACAGACAGGAAAGGAGCATCTTCTCCTACCCATTCCTACCTGTGCTCTCTGAAACACAGCACCCTGCACGTGCAGCCACAGCTGAGAGGAGCCCATAAACAACTACGTGCTCGCTACAAGGCATCACCTAGAGGTCCGTGCTAGAGAGGGCCAGGCTGGTAAAACACTGCCAGCGTCCCCAAGACACCAGGTTCTGGGAGGAACAGATCCCCACTGCAGCTGTGCGCACAGGATTGAGATCAGGTGCTGGAGCCCATTCTCATGAGCTGAGGAAGCAGGTCAAGACCCCCAGCACATTCTTTTCTCGTTCCTCCTAGGTCCTGCTGTTACACACCTGGGGGTTCAGCCGGGCCAGCTCCTCTATTTTCTGCCACATTTCTTCTCGTTCCTTCATCCTGAATCTGCCTCTGCAGAGAGAGAAAGAGCGCAAGTGTGAAACTCCCAGGGAAAGCACAGCTTTTGCTCACAGTAAGACAAAAGCAAGAGACAGCAAAAAAGTGCAGGCAAGGGGAAGAGCTGCTCTGTCCTTCTGAGATTTCCAGTTCTGTCTACAGGTGGACTTGTTGAAGCGGGTCCAGGAGGGCCACAGAAACGATGAAAGGGCTGGAGCACCTCCCCTGCGAGGACAGGCTGAGGGAGTTGGGGTTGTTTAGCCTGGAGAAAAGAGGCTCCAGGGACACCTTATAGTGGCCTTCCAGTACCTGAAGGGGGCTACAGGAAAGCTGGGGAGGGATTGCTTACACGCGTGTGTAGCAATAGGACAAGGAGCAACAGTTTTAAACTAGAGCTGGGTAGATTCAGATTAGACATTACAAAGAAGTTCTTTACAATGAGGGTGGTGAGACAACAGAACAGGTTGCCCAGAGAGGTGGTGGGGGCTCCAGCCCTGGAGGCATTCACGGTCAGGCTGGATGGGGCTCTGAGCAACCTGATCAAGTTAAAGCCCTGCTCACTGCAGCGAGGTTGGACTAGATGACCTTTAAAGGCCTCGTCCAACTCAACACGTAGGAGAAACTTCTTTACTGTGAGGGTGACAGAGCCCTGGCACAGGCTGCCCAGAGAGGTTGTGGAGTCTCCTTCTCTGGAGACTTTCAAACCCCACCTGGACGTGTTCCTGTGTGGCTGCCCTAGGGGATCCTGCTCTGGCAGGGGTTTGGACTAGATGATCTCTAGAGGTCCCTTCCAATCCTGAACATTCTATGATTCTACATAGCAAGAGGAGGGGACACACTGCAAGCTAGCAGGAGGTAGGCAGGCGTACTTTTCGCTCACTTCAGAGCACAGGGTGGCAGCAGTGGGCTGCACAGGTACTTTTTCCCCGGCTTTGTGCTGCAGGAGTGGACCAAAGCATCTGGTTTCTGCAGTAAGGCAATGACACCAGTTTGGATGTCAAACATATGTTTTCCTGGCGCAGATGCAGATGGACGAATTGCCCTTTCCAGTAGAGCTGGGTGTCAACCACCCACAATGCCCTCTCTCTCTGGCCATAACACACCAGAGAGCTGCCCAAACCCTAGGCACAGTTCTTTAATCTGGCACAGATTGGCACAGACCTTAAGTGACTGTTCAGCTGGGAAATCCCAGGGCAGTGATTGTCCTCCGCAAAAGGAGGTGAGCATCCACCACTCTTTGTTCTTCTCTTCTACATTTTAAACACCTGCACTAATTTTTAAAATTTAAACACCTACTTCTAATTTTAACTAACTAACTGTCTGGCTTTCATCCCAGTAACTAGTCTCTCTAGTGTCCTATCTGTTCATGCTAAGGAAGTTCTAACACTGTAATCACCTCACACTCTTGAAATATATTCAAGAAAGGAGGCTAAAATTGAGAACAAAGCTGCCAAGCATTCAAGCAGCAGACTACTCCATCAGAGAAACACAGACTCATAGAACCATTTTGGTTGGAAAGCACCTTTAAGATCATCAAGTCCAACCAGGACCACTTCTAAAGCATGTTCCTGAGCACCATATTTAGACAGCTGTTAAACACATCCAAGGATGGCGTTTCAGCCACTTCCCTCTACAGCCTTTCAGTGTTGGAAGTTCTCCTTAATGTCTAACCTAAACCTCCCCTGGTCTAACTTGAGACGATTTCCTCTTGTCCTATCAGCTGTAACCTGTGAGAAGGGACTGATGCCACTTCTCTACAACCTCCTTTCATGTAGTTGTAGAGAGTGATATGCCAAAATAAACCCCAACCAAACACCAAGCCCCACACCTCATTTTCTGACAGAGCTCTGGAGACCTCTGCAGAGGACTGTGACCAGGAGTTAGCACTGATCTTCCCTAGCTCTTTCCTGCTTCATCCCAAATTTCTCCAGAATCCTTTTTAATGTCTGGTGAACAGAAATATATGTATTACTCCAATTTTCCTATGGGGAAATGTAGACCAGTATGTCTGTCCAAAACAATCCTCACAGCAGGAAGGCTACTGCCTCCCCAAAGCCATGTCTACTTTGCTGGTATCACATCTTCTACCATGTAAGTAGTAAGGGTGTAACAAAGCTCATTTTCTCCAGCCAGACTACATCACATTACTGGTCCAGTACACAATGAGGCAAGGACCCTCATCCAGCCACTCAGCTCCATGCATCTCTAGCACTAGTTCTTTCATTTCATGTCACCAAATGAAAAGCATTGGGGAAGCCCTCCATTCCTCATCATACTTTGAGACCCACCAGTTCACCCATCATGTTCTCAGCTGACATTGCAAAAAAACCCACCCCAAACCCCCAAAAGTTACAAAGAGAATATTCAGTGTAAGAGCAGTCCTTCTAAAAAGCTAAAAGCTTTACACCGGTCATCACTCTTTTTAGCCAAACAAGTATTTAAAAAGAACAAAACCAAGTTTCATCTTTATTTTGATACCACACTGACTTAACTGTAGTATTACAGCTAACATCCCTCTATAGGGGAAGCTTCCTTCCAACCTCATCAATCAGCTGGCTTTACCTCCTACACTAGGACATTTCCATTGCAGTTTATCTGAAAGTCACTCATCCATGTCACTCTTTGGAGAATCTTACCTTCCTAATTATCAGTGCCCCACAGGACAGCACTGGGTCTCAGGTAGCAGCACCCCTAGCCCTGTTTCCCAGGTGATGTGCACCTCATCAGCTCTCTTCACTCCTGATCTCATTTCTATCAGTTCGAGAAAGCCACTGGCAGGATATTTGGAAAAGCAAAACTGTATTGGGAGGTATCTCCTCTTTCCCACTGCCATGGTCTACACGGAAGGAAGCAAGGTAGCTGCTATCAGAGAGATGTCATGTCAGGTGTCCAGGTGGCCCCAAGGGCTGCTGACACCAAACTTCTTTAAAGGCAGCACTCAAGGCTCTCACACTTTTACAGAAACGCACATTCAGGACAAGACGCTATCTATCTGCCCCCAACCACTCCGCTGCCTTCTGAAAGCTTCTGATAATTCAAACAGCTTCAAGATGTCTGGGGAGATTAGTGAGGCGCAGTCAGTCCTTCTGCATGGAACAGCCTCCCCACACACGCCGGGGAGAGCATGTTTCTCCATGGCCAGCCTCGGCTGCAGCAGCACAACCAGGGCTGCAGCAGTGACAGGTCTGAGCTGGCATGTTCCTTGCAGGCACGGCAACTAATTAAAAACACAGCTAAGCCTTTTTCTGAGCAGGCCTCTCAACATCTGGACGCAGCCTAACTGCTCTCTGCTTTTCACCGTTTCATGTTTACTGGCTTTGTTCGCGTGTGCGGTCCTTCCCATGCGTGGTATTTTCTAGTTCACAGCACAAGGTCTCTAGTGGCTCACTGGAAAAGCACTTCATAGCTCTCTTCCTTTTTCTGACCACACTAAAGAAGCCATTCCAAACTTATCAGTCTCAGTGAATAAGGCCAAGGTCCTGTGGAAAGAGCAAGGCATTGCACAGCTAAAGGTCAATCCTGCATCACAGTGAGCTAGCCAGCATTCCCACAGATAGCCTTACTCCAGAGGCACTCGACATCACAGCCTGACAGGTTTATGTTGAGGAGAAAAAAAAAAAAAAAAAAAAGTACTATTTCCACTCAGTTTAAATCTCTGTGTTTGAAAAGGAAACAGCAATGGACTGCAATGCAAGAGGACCTGCTGCTCACCAGAGCAAGTGGCAGCACTCTGTGGAAAGAAGAGCAAGTAGTGGATGTGCAGGAAT